AGAGAAGAATGAAGACCTCAAGAACACAGGAATCGGTGGTCCAGTAAAACTAATGTTTTTTTGAAAGTATCCTTTTATTGGAAGTAATCATATTTAAGGTACTGTCAAGTACTAAATGTGGGTATCTCTCCTGACGGTGATTCAAACTTTGATTCGTTACGATATGAGGAACTAGTTTTTTCCGCTAATGTTAATGTTGAAGATATTTATATTGGATAACTTAAAATTTAAAATTATAATAAAGCACTTAAAATTAAAAAAAAAAAAAAAGGCATAGAGACTTAACCAGTATAAAATTAAAAACTGTGTTAAGTGAAAGGTAAGGTCAGGCCAAAAAAAAAGAAAGAAAGAGTGAAAGGTAAGGAAGGTGAGATGAGACTTGAGAGCGACTTGACGGCACAGTAAGGAGACGAAAGAGGAAACAATAATTAAAGAATGATGAAAGTGACAAGCCAATAACACAATAACAAAATGGTGTGCCCTATTTTGTATATTAAGATTCTGGACAAGCAATCATGTGGCCATCACACACACTGCGAACCCTAGCACTATATATATATAAATAGAGAGAGAGAGAGAGAGAGAGCAATAATGCAACGTGAAGACCCAAGCTTTCATATCCTCTCTGGCAAAAATATTAGATTGAATACTGAATGACTCAACATCCTTGGACTCACATTGTAAAGTTTGAGGTTTTTTAGTGATAAAATGCTGCTTTCCTTCTATTTATAAGTTTTTTCCTTGTTAAAAAAAATTTAAGTGAGTTGGGTCCTAGGGACTCACTAACCAGGATATGCCTCCATGTTGAAAGAACACTTAATGAGGTATGTACAGATCGCCCACCAATAAGTTTTTTTGTAGGTTATGAATCGACTTTTTACCAATTGGATTAACTTTTATTAGTTCCTTTTATTTATAAGTTATTATCAATATATTTAATAAAATTAAGAAAAATTTTAAATCAACTTCCCTCAAAATTTAACAATTTTTTAATTTTATCCTTTTTAATATACACTTTGTACGATGAAAACAAAATCTACATAGGGCAAAATTATAAATTCAGACAAAAAAAATTTAGTAATGTGATTTATAAATGAGATAAAAAGAATAATATTTTTTCTGTCCCATAAATAGGACCCAAAGAGTAATAATCCTTAATATATGGTATCATTCATACCAACTAAACGACTAAAATTCCTTTGAAGTAATGATCATTTCTTCATTTAAAACTAGGATAATCCGAGGGCAAAACAAGCGAAGCATCCCAATTATCATTTCTTTTGTCTTCCATACAAATTATTTTTTTTTAAAACTACCTTTATTATTAGATTTTATATGTGTAAGCTTTGTTTATATGTAAATAATCACAATGAAGGGCATTTTAGAAAAATTAACGCATCTTTTTTTTTAAAACTAAATTAGCTTATTTTTATTAAAAAATTTTAAAATTAGCTTGCAAACTTCTCCCTAAAAGATCATGGGAAAAAGTGTTTTTTTTTTTTAAAATTTATTGGAATGAAAATTTGGTCGTTTACATGACTCGACTCTATTATGATCTTAACATGTCTTAACACTTTGAGATGAGTTGGTTGGCCCATTAAAAATGTGAGAATATGCCCAAGAAAAATAAAATCTAATATTTAAAATTCTAATTACCAAATTATTAGTGGTTGTGTTGAACCGAATAAATTCGATTTCTGCGTAAAAGGCTTAACCCCATATTTAACATAACAATGCATAATTTGACATTCCGATTTGTGGTACCAAATACTATACAGCGTAAAAAAAAAAAAAAATCTCATTCATCAACTGCTATATCATATAGCCCAAAAAAAGGTATGTTTATGATGGGAACAAAAAAAAAACTGCTACATTATTTCTAATGTATTTGAATTTATTTCATTAAACTAATATATTTATATATATAAAAGATTCATATAAAATCTTGTTATTTTTATGTCATGATTATTCTTTAGATTTGGTATATTGCATGGGGCCCACGTCTAATCTAGTCCAATTAATGTAATTTATATAATAAATCAAACTAGATCTTTTTTTTTTTGGGCCAAAAATAAAACTAGATCTTGAGCATCATATAATCAAAATTCAAAAGCTACACTAATTATGGTTTTGAATCATGTAAATTCTAAATATTCTACATATGGCTTATCCTTCAAACCTCTTATAAATAAAAGGAGAAAATGTGTCTACTCAATTAATATATCAATACATAACATAAAATTTATAAAAAAAGAGGATTATTTATAAGACACAAATAGTAGTACTATTATTTATTTTTGAGAATTTATGGGAGAGGTGGGCACATCTAAATACCAACATAAAATATCTAACAACTTACATTTATTTGGTAAAGAATATTCTCCTTCCGGTCTCAAATATAAACAAATAAAATCATATTATAGAATTTAAGAAAATTAGTTATCTTTTTTTAATTATATATAAGATTAATATTTTTTCTTAAAATATCCCAATCGTTAATACTTAATTAAAATGAATTTTTAAATACATGTGAATCCTCATCTGAAAGTAGAATTGAGAATCTTGATTGAATGCACCTCAAAAAAGGATCATTTACTCATATTTATGACGAAAAAAAATATTTTGGTAGTTTTTATTTATATTTGAAACTAAAGAGAGTAACTTATTTATTATACTTTCTATGCAATGCACAAAACTGAGACAATTTATAATTTAAGAAAAGGTAAATAAATTTAGTCCCATGAAGTCAGGAATGTGATGGAGGGTATAATTAATAAGCGACAGGTAAAGTTAACCAAATGCCTTAGCCATTAAGCGTGAGACTGAGAAGGCATGAATTATGAATGCTTAGTGGCCCTACTTGCAACCACTCCTTTCTTTGGATTAGTGGGGACTTGACATCCACTTGTCTGTCACACTCCAAAATTATGGCAAAATATATCCAAAATTCAAATTATTTATTTTCTGTGACTTTATAAATTTTTATGTCAGTTTAAAATTGTAAATTACTCCGGCTGTGTCTTTTTATAAAAATATTTGATCAAATCGTATGAATAAAAACTCAGTTAAAATTAATTAATAATAATAAATATGTAAAAATTGTAAATTTTTTCTCAGAAATATCCCTATTTACAGGAAAGAAAGTATAAAAGAGAATAGGAAAATGAATTCGAGTAATAAGATAATAAATATATTGAGTGTTAAAATAAATAATTAATAAAAAAATAAAAAAACTCGCTTAAAAAGTTTAAAACATCTTATAAACATTTCATATGAATAAGAATTATGAGAATAAGATAAAGAGCGCACAAGAATAGTTTTTCCCATAATCAATGAAGCTGACTCCGCTTGGGCCTTATTGGTTAACATGAAAGCATGTCAGATGACAGCATACCAATTTATGGCGTCCACCCAACTATCCTCAGACCTTAATAATCCAGAGAATGTTTCTGCTATATCCACACTCCCATATTCGCAATGGTGCAAATCATTATTTACACTTTATCTATCAAAACTCCCCGGAAAGGTACAATAAATCAGGAAAAATTCACCCAAAAAAATTGTAATTACTAAATTTGAAGTTAGGCTTAGTTTTAACTCTTTGATAGATTTTGACCATGCAGTATTTACAAATAACAACATATTTTTATAGAAATTTTTTATTTGAGATTTTATAATTTTAAACTTGTTTTATGAGATTATCCCAATAAATTATGCAGTACTTAAACTATATAATATCACCATTTATCATTCTTTAATAATCTCTTTTTTTGCCAACATATCCTTCTTTAATTGTAATCTAATATAAATAAAATATTAATATGCTCTTGAATCAAAATGGCACAAAAACATATTCAATGACATCAATACACCAACCAATATAAATATACTCTCTTCATTCCACAATATAAGTTGTTTTTAGAAGAATGATTTGGTTCAAAATATAAATCACTTGGGAAGTAATTAATATTTATTTGTTAATTTTGTCCATACAATCAATACTTAAATGTAATCCCTTATATTTTTCTCTTTCTTTTACAATCTTAAAATATGGGTAAAGTTCGTTGAAAAAAAGTTTTCAATTTGCGATGGATCAAATGAGTTAATAATTACTATTTTTTGTTCTAATAAATTAGTTAAACTGACTTATATTATGAACTAGAATAAATATATATGACAAAACATATAACGAACCATAATGTCGATAAATTACAAGTACAGTGATTTATTTTTCAAATCTCATACAATGTGCATGAAAATATGTTTATTCGATATATCATATGCAAACTCTTTTTTTATATACTATTATCCAATTCAGGGTTTATGGCTATCCCATCCAGTATATATATCTCTTTTAGGACTTGAACTTGAGACCCAAAGAGATTTAGCAGGGTCTTATGTGCATCACTAGACTAACTCTGTACTGTTTATCGTCTACAAACTCCAATAAGCCACCTTATATATAATTTATGAGCAATATGGCTCATTTTCATGACACTTTTGACGACTAATGAGTTATAATAGTTACGAGAAAAGCTCATCTCCAAACTACCTCACATCAATCTAATACATTATTATAATAATTGAACTACACAGTAAAAGTTATCAAACCCAATAAAACCTACACAGCATGCGAACTATGACTATAAAAAAGATATATATACATATAATAATAATAACAAAGGTCAAGCTTGTTTGCAATTTTAATTTCTATAATCAGTTTAGTTAATACTATCACTAATTAAATCTATTTCGCATCATGAATCTGTCAAGCTACAGGAGCTTCTGCAATAATTGACGCCTCACCTCACCCATATTAGAACATTCTCGCACGAGGAAAAAGAGCTGATGGGAACTCACTAATATTTTCAATCACATAAATTTGACTTTAAGGCCAAATCCTATTTCAAATAAGAGAAAAAAAAAAAAGAGGATATACACTAGTTATCAGCCCACAAAATCAGGTCTTGTGACTCCATGTGTACCTGTATATTTTGTCTGTGAAAGATGATCTCTTAGTTCATCGTTGTATTTGCACTATTCATCACCATCATCATCATCATCATATATATATATATATATATATATTAAGAAAGGGAAAGCTTAGTGTTAATTTCTTGGGTCTCCTTGCAACGATCAGCATTCTGATAATTCAATCCCAGTTGCAGATCAGGCAACGATTGCTTTTCTTTCTCTACTTTCTCTTCATTTAACTGCAAATATTTCATCAATATTAATTCACCAATGCCAATCATTCATTAGTAATCAACTACATATCAATTCTACTTCTTAGCTAATCTGTATACTAAAACTTTAGAAAAGCGAGAAACTATTATTAGCATTACCTTAATCCGAAATGGGGGCTCAAATTCTAGCTTCAAACTCTGAGAACTGTTGCTGGTATTGCTCTTGAAATTTCCAAAACTCCATTGATCAGGTGGCTCATGCGTAGTGCCAAGTTGGTGAAATCCAGATTGTGAATCGTTAATACTAATATTAGTATCTGCCCAAGTGTTAATAATATTACTGGTCGGAGGCATTTTCTTGAACTTCCAATAATAATGCTGATTATTATTATTGTTGCTGTTATTACTAGTAATTTCTAATGGAGGCCACCTTTTCTCTTCCAGAAATTGGCTGGGTCTCATGGGTGCAATTCGGTCTGTTGTTGAGGGCATCATCATCATCACTTCGTTGTTTGTCACGCAACTTTGCCTTCTATACCATTGGTTATTGAAGTGCCATTGTTGGTGCCTGCAGTGATATTAATTATCAAGTGAGAGGAAAGTAATTTTAATACCATTTCAAATCCTTAATATATATAAGAGTTAGTTAACTAATTTGAGTAAATTAAGAAAATTAGTTATTTCAGTATTCCTAATAAATAAGTCTTGTCTTTCCTAGTATACCCTTACTAATAATGTATATTAGCTAGAACTACTATTTGATAAAACTTTTAACATATGTAATTACTACAAGGCTATTTTGAAAAAAATGGATAAACATAAGAGACAAAATAAATTGGGGTCTTATATCTAGGAGTAAATTGAATTTCAAACTAATTTTTATGTTAAAGATCGAAAGAAGTATTATTAACTAGAGTACATATAAACCCATGCATTGTATGGAGCTTGATGTAGAGATCAGCAAGTGATATTGCTTCTGATCCTAGAAGCAGAAGTTAGACTACTAATTTACAGAGATTAAAAAAATTACTTAAATTAGTTATTCATATATAAAATGTGGGTACTAGTTTTCATAAAATACTACTATTGTCGTTTGCATTTGTTGAAATTATCCTAACTGATGGAAGAGCCCCCATTTAATATGATAGTTAGGGGAAAACAACTATACATAATTTGAAATTGACGTTTTATATTTTGGTTTAGAATTTTTAACAAACTTCTTAATTAGGTCTTATATTTAACTTATAATATCAGAACTTTTTTTTTTTTGGTATTAGATTTTGTGGGGATATATTCTGAAATTTATCCGATATTAAATCTCTTCTCCAAGATAGGTTACAAGGATCATGCATGTATGTTGATTCAAGATAAAGATGATTTGTGTCATTCTGTCTTGAACTAACCTGCACATATGGATTCCCTCATTTTCTAGCAGAAAACTGAATTTTTTTGGAGCAACCCGATCAACATATATATATATATATATATATATAATGTCTAATATATATTAAAGGCATATATATACTTGAACTGCGTAGTTAATTACCTGGAATCAGTGGCCATTGTATGGGAGTGTGAAAGAGTAAAAGAAGGCTTGGAGAGAGGATGATGATGAACAAAGCCAGCATGGTCGTTGGAATTGGTAGTTAGAATAATTCCACCATTTCCCATCTTCAATTGTTGCCTTGTGTTCACTGATTGATACGATAACTGAGACATACGACCACCTTGCGATCTGTACGTTTTATCTTGTTTTTATTTCCTATATTGAATCTTGTTATTGCCATATACTGCTCACTTGTTGATGTGAAACATGGTTAGTTACTTTTTTGGGACTGCATAATAATTTTCCCAAAACAATCCTCTGGTCTTAAATATTGGAGTTATTTAAGGAGTTAAATTTGATAATAAATTTCATTTTATCTCTTATGTTTATTATTTTTCCCAAACTAACATATATAACTTACTGATACATAATGTTGGCGAAAGAAAAAAAAACCTACTGATACACAATGTTATATAAAGATAATTTAAGAAAACTATGTGACATTTATTACAATTAAATAATTTGTTTAACATAATATATTTATTTAAATTAATTAAATAGTTCTTACGATTGAAAACAAAACAAAAACAAAAATTAGAGGAGTGGTATTTCTATATATGACTAAGGGGAATAAGGACTGACGTTCTCTATTTTCCACCATCTTAATTGGATAGTAACTCATTATGCAGATCCATTAATATATGAACAGAGATAGAACATGATAAGAAGTTTTTAAGGTACAAATCGCATGTTCTACTTTTCAGTTTGATTTTGATGTGTCCAATGAGGCAACCAGACAAATCAAAGTTTAACTAAGTACGAACGTACTGTGAATTAATAGTATCGAACTTATCAGTTGTAGTCCGTACAACTAGTAGTCTATAGAATTTATTATCACTGATCCCTAGCTATAATATCCCTAAACCTAGATTCCTATCACTGATTAATCAGTAATTGTGATCCTTTTTTTAAATCTTAATAAGCGATCGACTGTTTTTGGTTTAAACAAGCATAAACAGATGGATATATTAACTTTATCTCCGAATTCTCACAATCCAATCTAACATTAAGTAAGGTAAATATTTCCTATATATAGTTTATTTTATCTCAGCTAAATCAATTATTACAAGTGTGTATTAATGATGTTAGTTTGCTAATATTCTTTTATATGGCATGCATTCTTGTGTTTTGCAAATTGATATGTATAGATGAATTTTATGTAATTTCACTATTAAGACTCTCCCCAGTTTGTAATAAAAGAAAATTGGTATAGCAATAATTTTTCAAAAAAAAAAAAGATCTGACCAACTAAATCCTCTCTATATCAAGTTTTCTCTCTAAGTCATTTCATTCTATGGTTGATAATATTTGAAATTGCATTACTTAGATGTACTGTTTCAGTAAAAAGGAACACAGGCGCATATATATAAGGTTCATGCGGAACACAGACGCACATAATTAAACTGAGATTAGGATATAATGCTCACCTTGGCCAGCCTCATCAAGTTTTTTACTCCGATACATCTGAAACAGAAATGCAGAATTATATAATTAATTAATTCGCATAAAATATTAGTTACTATATATATTAATTAATTCACATAAAACATTAATTACTATATATATACACGTTACCTGCAAGTGACTCTTCACATGAGCAATGCTGAGTCCCCTCACATTCATTAGCTGAAGCACCAACTTGGGTGTTGCTCCTGCACAATCAATCTTTATTATTATTATTAAGGCAAAATTGAGAATTCACAACTTCCTATAAAACATGAATATGCTTTAAACAAGAACTTCAAAATGCTATATATATATATATATATATATATATATATATATATTATATCCATGAAAGGTTATCCTTATAAGTATAGATGACGTAATAAGATTAGATGCTCAGTATGATCACTAGAATTCACTCAAAACTACCTTTTGCTGCTATTCCCGTTGGCAGGGCCCACACAACCACTTTCACTGTAGCTCAATTGGCTCATACGCGCTGTTTTTCCGAAACCTTCTTTTCATTTTTCCTTTTGAACAATAATAATATGTTTGGTTTCATGTTCAAGATAGTTTTAATATAATTTTCAACATAAAACCAAACATATACTAAAATACGCATATAATATTTGAACTTTTTCTCTCTCACACCAAATGTATATGTATACGCATAGAACATAAATAAATAAATATATATATATACTTACTCTCTTGACCACCAAGGCGTTTAACAGCATGAACAAAAGAAAGATGAAGATCTGGAGTCCAGCGAAGCCTAGGCATCTTGGATCTGACATATTGTCTCACTGTGCCTTTTCCTTCATTTCGTTCTCTTGATGTGCTTCTGTTTGATGATGAAGTACCTTCATGTTCCTTCATTTTCTCGTTCTCTTCTTCTGCTTCTAAATCTCTGCGATCCTTCTCCTCCTCCTCTTCCTCTCCTCCTCCTCCTCCTCTTGTTCTTCCTCCTCTTCACTGGTAGCTTCCTCATTCAAGTCGAACGATGAACACTTGTGGGAAGAAGAGCCCAGCGAAGTTTCCTCATCACACTTATTTTTTTCATTATAAATCTCGTGTTCGTCTTCTGACATGTTTGGCAGATCACACCGCCAAGTCTGATCCAACCTCTTTGTCCTTTAAGAAGTTTGCATTTCACTGGTGAAACATGGAGGCGAATTTATAAATGCCCACATTTATAAATATTAAAAAGGTTGGCATACTAGGCAACAAAGTGACTTAAATAAGAATATGTGTGAGGACAGGCTGTAATAGGCATGTAAAGTATTATTTATAACAACAACTAAGTTCTCCATCTACATCAATTAATATATGATTTAAAGATTTTTAAGTGCACTTAAAAAATAGCTGTACGATAACACTGTTATACAAGGTGATGGTAGATTTGCACTGTAACAACCAACAGTACAGAGAATGAAAACCCAGCTAGCGAGTTAATTAACTACTTTTCTACCTTCAAGTTGCGAGCAAAATTTCTCGTGAATCTCAGGTTTTGGGTCTCTCTCTCTCTCTCTCTCTCTACACACTATATATATATGTAGGACCAAGTGCTGACATATAACTTCTTCTTAATACCTATGAGTTCTTTTTATATATAACCTTCCCAATGGAACTTCAAATACTCGATACGCAGGAAGGAAAATGGAAAATTTCGAGGAGAGACATCCATATTATTCATTCTCGAAACTATGAGAAGCTTTAAATTGTGTGCGCAAGCCCTTTCGTACGTTGAGGTGATTTTACATCTTCATCAGGAATCTCAACAAGAATAATATTTTCATTCAAGCACACTGACAACAAAGAGAGAAATAAACATTAAGGGAAAAAAAACAAAGGGGCTGAGAGAGAGAGGGGGAGAGAGAAAGTGGAGGCAGCGATGAAGCGGCTCAAACTATGATACTTCATGCTAAACAGTTTTATGGCTAATCGAACAAACCTGCGAACGCACTCGTCGGGAAGATACTTCGAAAAGACCACGTAATCATTGGGAATTTCTAAAACATGCTAATTTCAGCAAGCTGTGGTTCGGGTCTGAATTAAATTATAGATGTATTATAGTTTCAGTGGAAACCATTGAAGAATCTGCATATGTATTCAGTGTTTTGGGTCTAAATTAAAGGAAAAAGAACCATTATAATCATCAACTCTAAAGGATCAAAAGTGCATAACAAATACATATAATCCACACATACATGATAGTAAACCCAGAATCATTAAAGTGATATCTTTAGTTACTGAAAACATAATCGCAGGAATCAAATTACTCATAGCAAATATTGGTTGAGCCATACGCGAAGGAGGGCCGAGAGAGAGAAAAATAGATGATAGAAAGATGGGGAGAGAGAGATAGCTTGACTGGTACCTGGTTTAGGTTTGAGGGTTTCGGTATCATGCAGCAGAAGAGATAGAGAGATGATGAAGATTCAGATTGAGAAGAGTATAAGATATTAGGTTTAGAAAGGAGTATTTTGGGTTTTGTGAGAAGAGAAAGCTGATGGAGAAAGTTATAGGAAAATATTCGGACAGATTTCGTCTTCTCTTTAAAATTGTAATAAACTCACATAATGGATACAGATGCCACTGGTCCCTTTTTGTACTGTTGGAAATCATGTGACAATGCCTATTCCTTTGCCTCTCTCTCTCTCTCTTCTTTGACAGTTGGAAAAATCTACCTCTCTTGCTTCTGACCCTATCTTGCTTGCTCGTGATTATCTTTATTGTTTGACCTCTGTTAGCTACACACTTATTTTCTCTTTCTCTTTCTCATTTTGACATGGTGATGAGTGAAATGAAATTTCGATTATTTTCAATTTCACATCTCCAAATATGAATATCTCATTTAAGCCCTGAAATAAACATTTCGTTTTTCTTTAAATCCTCATTTTTTAAAAAAAAAAATTCACCAACAGATATAAGTGAGATAACCTAATTAACAAAAAAATTGATGTATAGTTCTTAAGCGTTTAATTTTCACCGAAGATAATCATCCCAAAATATCTTTACAAGTATGAATGGCTAGTGATTATTATTAAACATTCATATTCATTTCTTGTTTGGCCAATCATCTATCTTTATTATTTGTTGATATATCAATATTGGAGTTAACATGAGAATGAAATTAAGGGTAAAGTTTTTTTTTTAAAAATACTAAAATTATTACTTTTCAAATCTTAAAATACTAAATTAAAGGCAAAATGCATATTTAAATGATACCTTAACTTCAATTCATTAAGCTAGCTATAATAATTTCAACAAGTATGAAATTTAAAATATAAATCGTGATTTTTATAGTAGATATATTAATAGATATATTGTTGACTATCTATGTATAATGAAGTTAGCACGAGAATGATATTTATTCTTTGAAATTCTAATTAGATGGAAAGTTGAAATTTTAAAAGATTAAATATAACGTCAATTCAATAAGCTAATCTAGGTTATATAATAATGTCAATATGAATAGGTGAAAGTTGTAAGTATATTGGGTGGTCCATTTCTTTATCAACTCTTTCCATTTCTTCTCACCTAAACAAAGACTTTCTTCCCATAAGCGTCACTGTTTGTTTGTCCCTATGTGCTCAAGAGTTCTCAAGACTTCTACTTTTCTTAAATTTCTCGTTTTAAAAATACACACAAACATGTGCGCTTCTGACGCTTCATTTTTGGTCTGTTTTGGCAATGATTATCATCAGATTAATCAAACCTTAATAACATAGTGATTCCGAGACTATATATATATATATATATATTAATTATTATTGTCTGCCAACAGTAGTCAAATTTGGAGGGAATAATGATGATCTAAACAAGAAAAGAATCATTATATTTTAGTCCTGGTTGCACTTTCAACAGGTATTGATGGCAATATACACATACATACAACATACATACATACATCATAAATTTCATATACACAAGCATTTTCACATATTGCAATTATAAAATTTCCTAATGATGGACTATGACTCAAATATTTGACAACGACTTTATTATATAGACTTTCCATGCATTGGGAGGCCAAAGAAAAGATATAATATTGAAGTTTTCTCTAATTGTTGCTTGAATGCAAATAAACAAGTGAAAAATCCAAGTTCAGGCATACAGATATATAAAGAGATCTTAAATATTTTATTCATTGATTATATTACATTGCATTGGATTTTGAATATTTGAATTATTTTAGGATATTTCAGATATTATTCCGTTATCTTATTTAAATAAACTATCTTAAGTGTGGTGTACTAGTTTGACTAATTAAGTATAGGTTTATAACTTTACTCAATCTTATTTAATTAATAAATAACCTTGATAAGAGGTTACTAGAGAGAGATGGTTGTTCTCAGTTATTATCATTGTGCCTACACACTATTTATTAGAAGATTTCTTGACATACTTTTCTGTGGCTTCTATTTTAGACAATGAACATTGTGGATCTAGCTACTTCACATAGCGATAATAGAGTATTTTAGGGTCTTCGTCTGCTGAATTGGGGGTATATGCTTGTACTCTTGCTATCCTTAATATAACATAATAATATAATTCTAATAATTAGATAATTAAAATGATATTAAATTAATAATATTAATAATATCTTTTGAATAAACACTCTAATATCTTTACTATTCCTTCTTCTCTTACTTTAGATTATTGATTGAGATATTATATTAAGTTATATTTGAAAAAAAAATATGATAAACACTTGATTATTATTGAAACAATGTCTTAATTTAAAAAAAAATTTGATAACAATGTGAACAGTCTTATATATAAGAACAACATCAACCTTCAAATTAACTCTTACATTAAGGATGGAGGGGTATTTGATTTGTTTATATATATACATATATACATATATGTAGAGAGAAGAGAGAGAAATATAGTGTATACATAATGAAAATAAGGGCAGGAATGATAACTTAACTGGGAATAGGTAAGATCAGTTATGATTAGTAAGTGAGGGTTCACTTTTTAAACCTAAAGTTTTATAAATTGCTGTAAAGAGGATGATGGTTTACTACCAAATTGGTTGACAAATGAACAATTTTTCTGAGAAAGGAAATGAAATCAGAAAGTGGGGGCGAGGCAGAGCAGTTGAATTTTACATCAAACTTTATTGACTTGCTATCATCAACGAACGTACCCAACTGTTTTAATCTCACCCTATAAACCTCAACCACACATGTGGCCTAATTCCTCGTAAAACGTAATAATTTCCTACTCAGTCTCGTACAGATTGTTATAGAAGAGCTCGTGTGATATCTATTCTCTCTCTATCAAATAAAAGATCCGGAGAATATGGCATCTAATAGCCCTTGGCCAGTCGATCATTGTTAATGTCAAATATACATGCAACAATTTAATAATATTTGTTTATGTATTGTTATAAATATAAATAATAGAGTTAATTTGAAAAAAAAATTGATAAACATGTGAAACAAGTCTTATATATAAGAACAACATCAACCTTCAAATTAACTCTTACATTAAGGATGGAGGGGTATTTGATTTTGTTTATATATATACATATATACATATATGTAGAGAGAGAGAGAGAGAGAAATATAGTGTATACATAATGAAAATAAGGGCAGGAATGATGAACTTAACTGGGAATAGGTAAGATCAGTTATGATTAGTAAGTGAGGGTTCACTTTTTAAACCTAAAGTTTTATAAATTGCTGTAAAGAGGATGATGGTTTACTACCAAATTGGTTGACAAATGAACAATTTTTCTGAGAAAGGAAATGAAATCAGAAAGTGGGGGCGAGGCAGAGCAGTTGAATTTTACATCAAACTTTATTGACTTGCTATCATCAACGAACGTACCCAACTGTTTTAATCTCACCCTATAAACCTCAACCACACATGTGGCCTAATTCCTCGTAAAACGTAATTAATTTCCTACTCAGTCTCGTACAGAT